TGATTTTTAAGCCTGTTGTATCTTCTTTTTTCAATCAGACTTTGCTAGATGTTTAATATAACACTCAATTTTAGTATTACACAAATATTTTTAGTAATTAGTACCCTGTTCCCTGGGACTTTTTTTTACCTTAATATCTGGTATAGTGGTTAGTTTAGCGGTGAGGGTAACCCAAGCTGTAGTCAGGTGGGTTTAATTCCCTGCTTAGGCAAAAACACCACGCTATGCCAATAAAAAAATCCTTGGACAAGACTCCTAACACTACATTCGCCTTCCTCTGTCACATGATTAAATTGTAAGCCACTCTGGTTAAGAGTGTTTGCCAATTGTGTAAATGTACGACCTCGTTTCCAAAAAAGTTGGGATGCTGTATATAAAATATAAATAAATACAGAATGTAAATCATTCATACTCTATATTTAAGTGAAAAAAGTACAAAGACAACATATCAAAGGTTGAGACTGAGAAACTTTTTTTTTTAATTTTGAAATTTTAAAATTTCTTAGTTTTATACATTTGATATGTTTTTGCACTTACCCTGTACTTTATTTTCAATTAAATATAGGATTTAGATGATTTGCTCATCATTGCATTCTTTTTTTTATTTACAATTTGCACAGAACCTTTTTGGAAAAGGGGCTGTACGTTTAATCCCTAATTCCTTTTTCTGGGGTTTTATTTCATTCTGTGGTGTTGGATCAGATCCTGGCCTGGTTTACTGTTGCTCACTCCTCTCATCTCAGTGCTTTATTATAGACCAAAAATAAATACAAAGAGAAGAATGGCGCCTTCAGGTGCTAATTTGAGGAAGGCTGTACGGGCTCACAGGTTCCACTCCAGTTCTATAGGGAACTCATCTTAAGTAGCTTCTAAACCTGGTACTTCTGTACTTCTAATCAAGATGGAACCAGGCAGTGCGTTTTCAAGTGGCTGTCAAAACACGACAGGCACGTAATCACATCCTGAGAATGAGCTAACAGGCTGATTTTTACACACAGATGTCAGGAGTGTTCAAGGTCATCAGTTCAGCTTATCATGACTGATCTGGGAACAGTTACTGAGGAATTTGATAAGATTAAATGTAGAAAAGTGACTTTGTAGCTTTGATGCTGTGGTTACCTGGTGACCACTAGCCAGGTGGTCTTCTCAAGGTGGGCTGATTGAAAAAATACAGAGAATAAAAGGGCCTATTTTGTTCAAATATGAATTATAACTGCATAAAGTTTTTCATCTAATGTTTATCTAACATTATCAACATATGAATTTTAACTACAAAACATATACACTCATTTAAGTGCATCTTAGTCAATGTTTATGAGCAAAATTTGTTACCACAAAGCACAGCTACTACAGCTACTACTACTATTGCTAATAATAATAATAATAATAATAATGCAATAAAATCATTAAAACCTTTTACATTTAAACAATTTAATATTTAAAAGCAAACAGATAACAGTCACAATTATAACAGTACTGGGATGTATCAGACATATATGTATGATCCATATATTATGCATATTTGTCCAATATGAACTCAGAGACCACCCTTCATTTAACATTTAGAATTTCCAGTCAAAACAACCTTTTAAAAGCAGGTATAAGCAGTATTAACCCCACTGAGGGATCCTCTGTGAAGCTGAAGTTAACAATGAATCATTTACTCTCCCCGGTGAAGATAAAGTCACTGAAAACTATTACATCCCCAATAAGAGCTCCAGAATGTGAACTAAAATGTGATCATCGCTATTTTAGAATTATTATGTTGTAAAATGTTCACTATAAAGTGGCATACAAACTAATTAAGAAGCTAATGCTAAAGCTAGAGTTTTTTTGCTCATATTTTCACACATAACTTTGCTCCATTCTTCACACGTAGGCATTTGAGTGAGTGAATATGTCGTCCCCTTAGAATTATACGGTTCTATCTGTGTTCTGAGCAGTTTTGAGATATTAAACTTCAAAGATTTTGCATTTCAAACAGCAGAGCTGATATGCGGAACACATTTCTTTCATACATGACAATGACAGACACTCTAAATGTATTCTAAATGTACGATATCAAAATCCTATCAGATTTGTAAATGAGTTTTTTTCAGAACAGGTCAAATTCTCACTTTCTGCTTGGAGTTATAAGGTTCTGTCTGACAAAACATGAGAAGAAACAACGATTTTCAACAAACACAAACGATTTATACTCATAATTTGTTTTAAAACATAAAATTAGTGTAACAGAGCGACTACATTATCAGTAAGTTAATTTAATGTTTTTTTGACATTTTTATGACATTTATTTTTATTATTTATTTACTTTTAATAACAATTATCTATTGTTTTTGGACAAGTAATCATTTTCCTATTCAAAAAAAAATTCATTGATACATTAAGTTTGAAGGTCAGTGCTAAATATTTAGTCCAGTGCAGAGGTCAGTTTTAGGTAGGAACTATGAGTTTATATTAGTTTTCTTTAGGTTAGACAGAAACCAGCTACTGTTATAAACTGTCCCAACAGGTCAGTCTAAAGATCGTGTGAGGTTTTGTTTTATATCAGACTCTAATGAGCCAAATTGTCTTATTTTGGGAGAAAGAAGAAAAGAAAAGATGGACGAATGAAGGAAATTAATGTGTATGTTGTAATTAAAACCCATCAATTCAAATGTTCACTATTTAATTGCCTTTAAGGCTTAATATTTATAATATTTAGGACAATAAGACTTTTTAAAGAGCTGTAAGAAGTTTTATGTTTCATGTTTCATAAAGTTTTATAAACTCTTCCCGCAGTCACTGAGCAGAGCGGCGACATGACAAAGAAGCACAACCTGATTGGTCCGCTTGTGTGTATTCGAAATGCTGATTGGCTCGCGAATAGAACCTTATAGACCCAAATTAGAGTTTGACTTTGGAGATAGAACCTTTTGTTTTTCAGATAAAGAGTCCAAAAATGCACGCAACTTGAAAAACCATCTCACATAATTTTAAGAAGTTCTCACAGAATAAGAATATATGAATAAGTCAACTTTGACAAAAATGTCGAATAGAACCTCATAAGTCCAAGTGGATGATGTGGAGAACAGTGCAGTAAATGTTGCAGCTGTCTGGTTTTTCTCAAAAGCCAGCCTTAGTTAAGTAGCCTACGTTCAGACCGTACGGGTGATGGACATTTGTGTACTAAAAGGGTTAAGTCTGGTTCCCTCTTTAGAGACCTTAAATAACTTATGAATCCCAAAGGGATTTCCAGACCCTCTCTTTGCTTATCTATCAGTCATAAAACCCCCACAAACATTCTTTTCACTGAGTCGGCTTTTCAGTGACCTGATGAACTTTGAGAAACTTTTTTTTGAAGTTTGATGAAATCTATTTACAAATCTATGTTCCATTATGGAACTTGTGCAGCTGCCACATCAAAAATAATGTCTGAAGATAATAATGTCAAGGCAGAGTTCCATACAGCCTTTATTTACTGCCTCCTTCTTTCTGTTCTTAAATTATCTGTTTTCTCTGTTATGTTTTTTTTAATGCTATATCCTGAGTCTATATTTAAGGTGAGATATACAACATTTTAAACATGAATGTAGCAGCAAACAGCTGTTTTCTATGTAAAGACGTAGCGCAGTAACGACATCCTGATCAGAGAATGAAGCCACGCCCCCTCTGTGTGTGTGTGTGTAATCTGAGCTTCTCTGTTTTTGTTTTCGTAGCTGGTCCGGTAACTTCTGCATGTTAGTCCCACCCTGTGAAAACTTTGCCCTCCACATGTTTTGTTTTGCCCTCCCCAGACAGTGACCGCCCACACAGCATTGTGCGTGGACCTCTTAAGGTGGAATGGGAAAATTTGAGGCGAATGTTGTGACAGCAACTGGTTAGCTTTGCATCAGGGAATTGAAACTGTTCAAAAGTCATGTTAAACTGTCTCTGGTAAGAAGGGAGTAAAACCGCCTTGAGTTTGACGCCACCAATAGGCCCTTTTCTCAAAAAACGGAAGTGTGTAAATGCTGGGTAAAACACGTTCCGCTATTGCTATGCTCACGTTCTTTTACTCCATATGACAAAGTTTATTCCTTTATTAATTGCACAAACTCATTGTTCCTCTGCTCATCATCAGTTGAGATTAGTTTGCCTCAAACTCGAACACTTGAGTAAGCTGTACACGCTCTACTCATCCTCGTTATTATTGTCGTTGCTTTAGCGGAAGCAGTGTTACCCTGCGATGAGAACTTCCAGCAGAAATGTGAAAAGGGCCTAAAAGGCAAAGATTTGATTGCCTGGAATGTGATAACTCCATACCCAGTCCCCGCCCAGCCTCACGCAGTCTCAGTCAGAAAGAAAAAAGTAGGAAAAGCAGAAAAAAAGTCTGAGAATGGAGTAAAGTAGCTGAAAAGTTACCTCCACTGAAACAAAGGATAGACCTGGGTTAGGCCTTAAAGGAGCTGTCAAGAAGCCTCACTGAGAAAAGGAGACGGACACATCAAACAAAGAAGCTGAACAATGGACTGACCACCCCAGAGTCCAGACCTCAACACCACTGTGCTGCTTGGATCGTGATGAAACCTTTGGAGGTTTAATATCAAAAAAGTGGTTATATTTAGTTGTTGAAGCTTCTCTGCTTTTTTCTGACACTGAAAAATGAAAAATGTGTACTCAGTGGCTGTTTTGACTGGAAAATGAATAAATAAAGGGTGGTCTTTGACTTTTGCACAGTACCACATGTAGGATATTCATGTTTTGGGTAACACTTTACTGTAGGGTGCTGTTCATAAGGCTACATGAAACCTACATAAGCTTGTCATGACAACTGACATAGCCCTACACAAATGTTTATAAAAGCTTAATCCAATAGTCGTCATTCGCTATAAAGGTTACATTTGCCAATTTTGATCAAAGTTAGCTAAAGTAGCCTTTATGACGGATGACGGCTATCGAAATAAGCTTTAATAGACATTTATGTAGGGTTATGTCAGTTTTCATGACAAGCTTATGTAGCCTTATGAACAGCACCCTACAGTAAAGTGTTACTGTATTTTGACTACTTATAATTCAGAGGATTCAGGGTTAAAATGTACATCGTTCATTTTTTCCATAGGCAAAAACAGAGAGTCTTTAATATTATGCAGAGGTCTACAGAACACGCGAGGCAGAGTAACATCTTGGCTGTGATTTGGTCGCATCACCCAGCTGTGATGTTATTTGCAATAACAAAGAACCTCGTGTTCTTTTGCATTTACACAACAGCTTTTATACTAACAAGTAAGGACAATACAGCAAAGAAGCTCTGTTTCAAATGTACGTTCTTAATATTTACAATGTTTTCCACCAAGAAAGTAGTTCCAGCAGCTTAAACAGTGACCATTGTCGTTACTTAGCAACTGTTGGCCAGTGGAACGATACAGGTATGATGATAAAATGTGCTGTTATTCGATACAACAACACGAGTAGAACACCTCACCTCTGACCGTGTGAAGAGGATTAACTGCACAATCAGATGTAAACAGTAAAAACCTGCTGTAAAGCTGTTCTGGTCTGAAAGCAGATGTGCTTTAACATGGTTTTAGTCTGGTTCCTCCAGCGTTTCTCACTCTCCCGGATAGCTGTCCTCGTCTTGTTGCGTGAGCTGACCCACACGCGCCGAGGCCACCAGGAAAGCGATGGCTGTGAGGAGCTCGCTGATGAAGGAGATGGCAGCGAGTACCAGCGACCAGCCGAAGTAGATGTTGATGTCCTCCAGGGTTTTGTGTCCAGAGATGCACACGGCTTCTTTGAAGGCCGCCGCGGAGTAGGCCACGTACACGCAGAGGCCAGCCAGCGTGAAGACAGCTGGACAAACACATGATAAAGAGAAAGTTGGTAGCCTTACAAATGCATGGAGCAGGTTGGTGGACAGAATGTTTTCATTATTGTGGTAAATTACATCACAGTACTCTGTTCTGAGGTTGACTCCTAGGTGGAGTCAGTATGGAAGTCTACTCAGATGTAAAGAAGGGCCTGGGTTTGATTCCCGGCCAGGAGGCCAGGGTCCTTTCTGTGTGGAGGTTGTATGTTCTCCCCAGTGTCTGTGTGGGTTTCCTCCCACAGTCCAAAGACATGCAGTCAAGCCAACTGGAGATGCTAAATTGACCCTAGGTGTGAGTGTATATGTCTGTATGTCTGCCCTGTGATGGACTGATAACCTGTCCAGGGTGTGTCCTGCCTTCCGCCCAGTGACCGCTGGGATAGGCTCCACCCCCCCCCTCGTGACCCAGGAGGATAAGCGGTTTAGAAAATGTGTGTGTGTGTTTGTGTGTGTGTGAATGCTACTTCATTAAACCCAATGAAATATTCATTTAATTCATTTAATCACACAATATTAGGAAATTGGGCGGCACGGTGGCACAGTGGGTAGCGCTGTCGCCTCACAGCAAGAATGGCTTGGGTTCGATTCCCGGCCGGGTGTCCAGGGTCCTTTCTGTGTGGAGTCTGCCTGTTCTCCCCGTGTCTGCGTGGGTTTCCTCCGGGTACTCCGGTTTCCTCCCACAGTCCAAAAACATGCAGTTAAGCTAATTGGACTCGCTAAATTGCCCCTGTGTGAATGTGTATGTATGTCTGTCTGTCTGCCCTGCGATAGACTGGCGACCTGTCCAAGGTGTATCCTGCCTTTCGCCCAATGACAGCTGGGATAGGCTCCAGCACCCCACCGCGACCCAGAAGGATAAGCGGTTTAGATGATGTATGTATTTATTAGGAAATTGTCAAACTGGGAAGATCAGTTTAAAAACCATAGCCAAATATGGTCATAACAGCTGTAGTAGCATACAAGCTTCAACATATCAACAACAACTTTAGGAATATCTAGTTTTTTAAACTGTAAACATTTAGACGTAGGCAATGATGGGGTATTTTGAGATCACTGAAAGTTTCCTGTTTTTCCAGTATCTCAGTTTAATCATTCTCAGGATTAGTACAAAATCCTTTTGTACCAGAGCAGCACTGCCAGCATTACTCATTTGGACGCAAGTTTCTGTTGTGACGCATGGCTGATTTATCCTGTGTTTGGTGAAAGGTCAGTGTTTGGTCAGTTCTTCCACAACACTGAACAACTGCATTGTTCATAAAAAAAGACAGACCAGCGTACAGTAACTGAAAAAACAGCATAGCAACAAATAGCTGATATGATGTCGGCCCATATATTCATTTTATTTTACTTGCTTTTACCTGACTAAACACAAAATATGGCTACATTTATGATGCCACCATTCATTCATGTTCTACTAATATTAACCATTATAAATCAAAGGACTCCTTGGATGGTAACGATGTATAGAACGTCCCTAACAGTGTGAAGCTCCTGTCTGAAGAGGCTTTTCGGGTGAATTGGTTCTGCATCTCAGCGCTGATAGCACACTTACATCGGTTGTGTTGGTATTACAGGTACTGCTTTGGAGTGGTTATGATCTTACTTGTCTGACAGAACTTTTCCTGTCAACCTTGGAGATTTTGTATCGTCCTCAGTGCCTCTCTCTTGTGGAGTTCCCCAGGGCTCTATGTTCGGGCCAATTTTATTCCCCTATATCCTTATAAAATATGGCGTTTCCTTAGATATGCAGATGATACTTAAATTTACTTGCCCTTGAAACAGAAAAATACAATCTCTTTAAAACTACTGCTGGACTGTCTTGAGGGCATTAAAGTCTGGATGGCGTTACATTTTTTAAACTTTAATGAGAACAAAACTGAAATCTTTATGTTGGCGTTAGTCAGGCCTCCCTTTCACACTTAAAGTTGGTCTAGAATGCAGCTCATCTTTAACAGGAACACACAAGTGTGAGCATATTTCCCCTGCACTGGCCTCTCTTCATTGGCGCCCTGTACGTTTTAGGATTGATTTTAAGATTCTATTGTTTGCTTATAAATTGTGAAATGGGCTGGCTCCAATCTATCTTATAGTCTGAGTGATAACAACCATATGCTCCATCAAGGGCACTTAGGTCCGCTGATCATTTCCTTTTTATTGTCCCTAAGTCAAGGCTAAGCACAGGGGAGAGTGCTTTTTCAGTAGTCACCCACAAACTCTGGAATGAGTTGTCTTTGCATGTTAGGCCGGCCCCTATACTGCCTGTTTTTAAACCCTGTCTTAAAACACGTTTTTATTTGTCGGCTTCTGATTCAGTGTTGAGAGTTGCTCGTATTTCATGTTGTTGTTACAATTTTACATTTGTATTTATTGTCTTTTTGTGATTTAACTGGTTCTGTGTTTTATTGCCTAATTTGTGAGTTTTCCTACATTGATTGTACAGCACTTTGGTCAACAGCTGTGGTTTTTTAATGTGCTCTATAAATAATTTGAACACTGACATTGTCATTGGCAGCCTGTCGTTGTTTTGCACCCCTCACCCACCATGAGTTGAGAAACTGATGGCCAATTTGTATCTTTCCACCCCCCCACCACCACCACTGAAGCTGTTATCACTTTATGTCCATGTGTAAATAATTCGCTTCACTAGTCACAGTTGAGATGGGGGGATTGAGGTTTTCTCAGGCGTGGAGTGGCTAAAATCAATATGTGGTGTGGTTGCCAGCTCCACCTTAAAGCAACCTTTTTCTTTTAAATAAGACAGAAACAGCTCAAGCGCAAATAAACTTTATACCGCCCTCTAAAGGCGTCATTAACAAACATCGAATAAACTAATGTCGCTCAGCGTCGACGTCTAAAGGCGTCATTAACAAACATCGAATAAACTAATGTCGCTCAGCGTCGACGTCTAAAGGCGTCATTAACAAACATCGAATAAACTAATGTCGCTCAGCGCTGCCCTCTAAAGGCGTCATTAACAAACACCAAATAAACAAACGTCGCTCAGCGCCGCCCTCTAAAGGCGTCATTAACAAACATCGAATAAACAAACGTCGCTCAGCGCCGCCCTCTAAAGGCGTCATTAACAAACACCGAATAAACAAACGTCGTTCAGCGCCGCCCTCTAAAGGCGTAAATAACAAACACCGAATAAACAAACGTCGCTCAGCGCCGCCCTCTAAAGGCGTAAATAACAAACACCAAATAAACAAACGTCGCTCAGCGCCGCCCTCTAAAGGCGTCACTAACAAACATCAAATAAACAAACGTCGCTTAGCGCCGCCCTCTAAAGGCGTCATTAATGAACACCAAATAAACAAACGTCGCTCAGCGCCGCCCTCTAAAGGCGTCATTAACAAACATCGAATAAACAAACGTCGCTCAGCGCCGCCCTCTAAAGGCGTCATCAACGAACATCAAATAAACAAACGTCGCTCAGCGCCGCCCTCTAAAGGCGTCATTAACGAACACCAAATAAACAAACGTCGCTCAGCGCCGCCCTCTAAAGGCGTCATTAACAAACATCGAATAAACAAACGTCGCTCAGCGCCGCCCTCTAAAGGCGTCATCAACGAACATCGAATAAACAAACGTCGCTCAGCGCCGCCCTCTAAAGGCGTCATTAACAAACATCGAATAAACAAACGTCGCTCAGCGCCGCCCTCTAAAGGCGTCATTAACGAACATCGAATAAACAAACGTCGCTCAGCGCCGCCCTCTAAAGGCGTCATTAACGAACATCGAATAAACAAACGTCGCTCAGCGCCGCCCTCTAAAGGCGTCAACCATTTAAAATGTATTGAATTTGTATAATTTGTTAAGTTTTGATGAGAATCTTTTCCATCGAGCGACTAATAGGCAGGCGTCTCTGAGAGTACGCAAGAGTGTGAGTGCATGTCTAAGTTACTGAGGGTGAGGAGACTCACCGCCACACATCAGCAGCAGTCCCGTCGCTAGTAGCAGCGGGTGGGCCCGGGCCAGCATGCTCATGACCCCCAGCATCCCCCCGACAAACAACACGATCACGCTGAGGGGCAGCAGCACCATGAATGCCCCCTGCATGTCTGTGGAGAGACACAGTGAGGGTTAGGCTTACCAGCTCCAGCTGACCACAAATGGGAGGGTTTTGTTTGTACATTCTACGAAACAACATTGTTTTTATACACAGGTAACACAAACGGCATTTTATTAATTAAGACATTTAGATAGTATAATGCTGCAAATATACAAGAGGCATGCAAAATAATAATAACAATAATAATAATAATTTTATTTATATAGCACTTTTCATGCCGGTGGCAGCTCAAAGTGCTTTACAGACAGGTGATAAAACATAGTTATAGAAAAGATCATTAGTACTTAATTAGAATCAGAAGAAAATGAAGAAGATTAAATTACAAGATAAAAACCACGAGACATTCAGTTTCAGTTAAATGCTGATTTAAAGAGAGACGTTTTTAGGTGCTTCTTAAAAGTGAGCACTGAGCTTGACTGTCTAATAAAAGGTGAACTGAGCTCCACAGTTTAGAAGCAGAATAACTGAAAGAGCCTCTCCATGTTTTCTGTATTTTACAGAGCGTATCTGTAGAAGGCCACTATCTGCAGATCTTAGATTGCGTGCTGGAACATAAACAGACAGACACTCTGTGATGTAAGCGGTGCTTTAAGGTTTAAGGTGAGCTTTAAAGACTGGTAGCAGAACCTTGAAATCTATCCTGAATGATACAGGCAGCCAGTGCAGCTCTTTCAAAACGGGACTGATGTGATCTCTCTTTTTTAAAATAACAGAAAAAACGCATTGTGCAAATTCATTTACAAAAAAGTTGGGACAGAATATAAATAAAGAATATAAATAAAAATAGAATGCAATGATATGTGAATCATGTGAACCATATCAAATGTTGAAGCTGCACAGCGTCCCAACTTTTTTGGAAATGGGGTTGTATTTAATTTGCATAAGGAAGGAGAAAGTAAATGTAAAAAGACAGGAGTTTCCAAACTGGAATTCAAAAACTGATTAAAAGCTCCAGAGAAAACGAGTCTCCTAACAACCACCTGGAAGACCTGGTAGACTCCAAAACTGTCTCCATTAGATAAACAGCACTTAAAGCTTGCTTAAAGTAAATTCAACTGCCTACATACTATCATATCACATCAATTAGTGATTCTAACCACACCGACACCACTAACCAAAAATTTTAGGCTGCTACAGCACAAAAATCTGCATATCATACTGTGCATAATGCATTCCCAAAACACTGTGACCATGCATTCAAAGGTTTATTAACAACACCCAACATGTCTGATTGCTTTCACTGAGGAAACCAAATTGAAAGGAAATACCTTAGAAAAATAACAGAAAACTCCAACATCAGTCCTGCACAAAAACATCTCAGATACCCACGTCAACAGGGTGTATCCAACTACTCTTTCTACAGGTTTGCTTATTAAAAGGGAAACCTTTCATGCTTTTATATGTTTTTGTATACTATTAGTAGCCAAAGACAGATTTCCACAGTGAACAATATCATATCTACCTATTTATCTGCACTATCATGTCCAAAGGTTTGTAGACACCTGTTTATTCAACGTTTCTTGGCTATTAATAGTGAATTTCTCCCGCTCTTATCAGCCTCTACTCTTCTGGGAAGGCTTAACACTGGACTTTGGAACATTGCTGGGAAGAGGATTTGATTGCATTCAGCTACAAGAGCATTAGTAAGGTCAGGCACTGATGTTGGATGGTCAGTTCTGGATTGCTTCAACTCATCCCAAAGGTATTGGATGGAGCTCCATCACTCCAGAGAACGCAGTTCCACTGCTCCACAGCCCAATGGGGCTTTATACCCCTCTAGACGGGTGTGGTGGCCTTAGGCTCATGTGTGGCTGCTCCAGATCTATCTATCTATCTATCTATCTATCTATCCATCTATCTATAAGAACTCGTTTTCCATATTAACATGCCTGCATCCCCACATCCTTCACATCTTAAAGGAGCATCCTTTGGCTGTTGAACAATTCTTGATCTGATGGCTTTTGTTCATGTGTTGCTCCAAAAGATAGAAATTTGTAAGTAGGCCTGTAAAAAATGAGTAAGCCAACTTGGTAGATACATTTTCCAAATTTTTCCTAGGCTAAAGCATACTGCCTCGACGGGCATGAAAAATGTATGGATCATGTATGTCTTACCTTTGATGACTGGTTGCATTGCAGTAGATATTTGATTTGACATTTTGACTCTTAGCTTTCGTAACGAAAGAGCACTACAAATGTCAAATTAATTTTTTTTTCAATATTTTTTTTTTGTCTTTTGAAACAGATAGAAAATAACATAATATAACCCTATCAGGCATGGGCCTCACTTTTACATGTCCCCCAGGTACAACTGGAGCTTCAAATTTAAACACTGGTGGTACGCTGATAACAAACTGATTCAATGGCAGATAGCAACAGTTGCTAAGCTTCAGGAGGAGAATGCACATAGCTGGAGCTTCACATCTATCTCCTCCATCTCTCTCACTGCAAACTTACATTTCCCCAGCCGCCCTCACAGCTCTGCAGCAGCTGGCTGAGCAAATAAAGCAATTATAAAGCAAACTTCCCAATTCCCCTCTTACTGACATGGGAGACAGATTTCTCTAGATTTCTGCATAATTCAGTGGTTGAGATGTAAACAGAGTGATTCAGAGTGGTTAGGTGTGAAATGGGTTAGATTTCTTTACAGTGGTGGTGATAGGAACTTTGCTATGATACTTTACAGTGCTATGATATCCCAGGTGGTTGCTAAGGTGTTGCTAGACCATTGCTATGGTATCCTAGGTGACTGCTAAGGTGTTGCTAGAACATTGCTATGGTATCCCAGGTGGTTGCTAAGGTGTTGTTAGACCATTACTGGGGTATATTAGGTGATTGTTAAGGTGTTGCTAGGCCATTGCTATGGTATCCCAGGTGGTTGCTAAGGTGTTATTAGGCCATTACTGTGGTATCCTAGGTGATTGCTAAGGTGTTGCTAGGCTGTTGCTATGTTATCCCAGGTGGTTGTTAAGGTGTTGCTAGGCTGTTGCTATGTTATGTCCAGGTGGTTGTTTGAGTGTTTGAGATGTAAACAGAGTGATTCAGAGTGGTTTGGTGGTTGAACTTTGCTATGATATCCTAGGTGGTCGCTAAATTGTTGCCAAGCCATGTCAATGGCATCCCAGGTGGTTGTTAAGGTGTTGTTAGGCCATTACTGTGGTATTTCAGGCGGTCGTTAAGGTGTTGCTAGGCCTTTGCTATGTTATCCCAGGTGGTTGCTCAGGTGTTGTTGAGCCATTATTGTGGTATCTCAGATGGTCGCTAAAGTGTTGTTATGTCATTACTGTGGTATCTCAGGCGGTTGTTAAGGTGTTGCTAGAGCATCACTATGTTATCCCAGGTGGTTGCTAAGGTGTTGTTAGAGCATTGCTATGTTATCCCAGATGGTGGCTAATATGTTGCTAGGCTGTTGCTATGTTATCCACAGAGGTTGCTAGGGTGTTGCCAGGCCATTGCTATGGTATCCCTGCTGGTTGGTGTTGCTAGGTTATCCTAGATGGTTGCTATTTTGTTACTAGGCAGTTGCAAAAGTATCTACAGTGGTTGCTAAGATGTTGCTAGGCCATTGCTATGGTATCCCAGGTGGTTGCTAAGTTGTGTGCATATATGTGCTAGTATGTATGTGAGTCTTTATGTAACGTCTGTGTGAGAGATATCCTTTGTGATTGTTTAAATGCTGTATGAAAACCATAAGTGTCCCAAAAAACACAAGCACATTATTCCCGTATAGGCTGTACAGCTGTGCAAAGTTTTGTGGCTCTAGCTCAAAAACTGCAACCTGTGAAAATAATACAAAAAAAGCAGAGAATAATAAGAAGAAAGATAAGATAACGAGCCCCAGTGCACTGTTCAGCTCCGCTGTCCCTGTTTAATAGGATCTACAGCTGCCTGCCCGGAAACAGTATGTACACTTCTGGACCATCACTGACTGAACAGGAGCGCCACAAGGCTGCATGCTCTCACCCCATTGTACTCTGTTCTAGTGACCTTCAGCTGGCAGAAAACAGAACCCTTACAGTGCTCAGTCTTAGACTAATTAAATACAATAGCATATTTCTTTTGGACTCGTTCAAGGACAGTTACACAAAAAAACCCTATTTTTTTCACATGTAAACTCAATGCTTTTATGCATTTTATGCTGCGTATGCAGATACACTGGAAAGTGAACACTTAAGCCATATGGCCATGCAATTTAATGAAGCAGAAGGCTTAGCTGACTGTAATGATTTTCAAATACCAGCTTATGACAGCATTATATACAGTGACTCTCACTGGAGACTTCTGTCTATGCTCTCAATCACAGAAGGTATTTGGTCTTCAACAGTGAAAGCCAAATACCTTCACTGTTGTATCTCCGGAATGGAAACTGTATAAGGTGTTAACTTGAGTGTACGTTAATTAGAGATGGCACTTTTTCTTCCCCGATAACGATAACGATCATCGATATTTCTTTGTTAAAAACTACTGTGCTTTAAAATGAGCGATTTTCAATTGAAGCACATCACTTAAGATTAGCATCATATTCAAACTACTAGAAGAAATAGACAGCTAACAACATGACGTCACACCAGTGGTGAACCATGACTTTTAGAGCTCGGCTTTCGATTTGGACCATAAATGTGGAAACTTACAAATATTGGGAAAAAACCGCCTCTATGGTGATGCTAATTTCTAGAAGCGCTCCTATGGAGTTTCTAGCGGTATGTTAGCGCTAAGCTAACCCTGGTGTACATAAAGCTTTTTGTCTGTTCTAGATTAACTTTCTCAGGTCAATGATGTCGTATTAAAGGATTAAAGGATGTTGCGAATGCTGCACACTACAGACATTTCTCCCAGAAGGCTGGGGTTTTGCTGTTTCAATGAGGGCTCTGTAGCAATCGCATCACTTTCAGCAGCTTTGTTATCCAGCCTTGAACTGCACTCTTTTTGGAGACTTTGTAAAATAAATGACAAATCTTCTGTGGTTACTACTCTTCTGGGCAAAATGAAA